TTATTGTCAGCCTAGATTGGCATATGCTACTGTAGAAAATTCTTTCTTTTTTTTCTTTTTTTAATTAAAGGTTGTTTCTAAATAGCTCGGTAGATAAAGTATTAAGAATATCATGAATCTTGAACATATCATCTCCAGTAATTCCACAAGCAACTATTAAGAAGCTGCCAATCCAATCGAATAAACGTCACGAGTGAATCACCGATCGGTAATTTTTATTTCTGCTCATCATCCATCCCATCTCTGCCCCCTTCTCAACGGAGAATACCTGGAATTATTGAATCAGGTGCGAACCAGTCGTTCGCGTAGAAACAGCGAAAAACAAATAGCTCAATCTGCAGTGGAAAAAAAAAAATTGAGAAAGAGGCAATCGAGATCGCGATGAAAGTGAGAATGGAGCTAATCCTTGGTGTGCGCAAGAGCTCGTCTCGTTTCCGTGATAAAACGGCAACGTTATCGCGTCGTTAAGAGCTGGATCGCATCCGTACCTCGTCTCCATCGAGAAGAAACATCAAATTGTGCTGTCTATTTCTGTCGTTAAACGACACCGATTCACGTACGCTCGCGTCGTGAACCACGCGGACGACACGTGCGCCTATTCACCTTCCTCGACTCGCTCGCCTGGGAAATCTTTCTCCTCGATCGTTTCTTCTTTGTCTCACGAGCGATCGATAACGAGGAGACGCTCTTAATTGTACTTCTGAGTCGCTAACTGAGGTAGAAGAGCGATAGAAATTGACTATTAAAAGTTGGCTTGTGTCACTGGAGAAAGATCGAAAGTTGGTGTAGTTTTTTTCTCTATTTCTTAACACTTTATCTACCGGGATATTTAGAAACAGTCTTTAATTAAAAAAAGAAGAATTTTCTACAGTAGTAAATCTAGGCTGACAATAATTGCTTCATATTGTTAATAGGTGCAGTGAAAGCAAAGTCAGTTCCCAAAAACTGAACATTGTAAATAGACAATCATCGACAGAGTAAATAAATTCGATTAACTAAATACTGAAATTAAAAAGACTATTTGTGTTCCTCGCCATGGGGCGGCGCGGTGGTACACGCCATCTGATAGACACGCGATCGTGAGCCACTGCTGGTACATGCCGCCCAATGAGCATATAAGCGCGAGCCGCCAACGGTACACGCCGGCGTGAACGTGTTAAATCCATGCTAAGTTCGCCATAAGAAGGAACAGAACTAATTTCTACGCCTAGTAAATGTAATAGAAAATGTAACATGTATCCAGAAAAGGAGGAATACGATCGACTATTGTATACCTTCACTTTCCAAAAGTTTCAAAATTCGAAAATTCACTTTCCTTCTGTATTTGTTACAACTGGCTTTTTAATTTGATGTCTGCCGTTCGCGTACAAGAGAAAGAGGCACATTAAAGCGACGTCATCCGCGATTCTCCGTTTCGAGGAAAGTAGAAACCAAAGACGCTCTGACGCAGCTACGATCCAGCTGATCGTTCCGAGTGTCGTAACAGTGACCCATTATCCTGTATCCCGTAATTTACTCGGTTAACATTCCAACAGTCGCTCTCACACATGAATGATTTTACTTTTTCGAACGCCAAGTCATCGTCCACTCGACTTATGTCACCTCCGCGCAGACTTGCGTCTTGCGTCGTATATCGAGAATGATATTTACGTCTTCCTAGCGAGAATAGCCCTGAGGTACCCTCGCACGCGAAAGAGAAACGAATCTAAAGAAGTTCGGTTCGGTTTCTACTAAATCTAGCTTCGTATTTATATACGAATATCGTTTCCTAGGGCTACAATATCGGCAAGAAATTTTCTAAAGTCAAGCATGAATTTATTATTACACTTTTACCACGTTTGATAATCAATTTTCAATTCTACTTTATCACCTATCATTCGAACATCACGTTGCAACAGAAAATCGTTAAAAAGTATCGAGAATCCACAACTGGTGGAGTACAACAATACCAGTGCACGATCAGCTGACCAATATCCTTCCCGATGGGTGGTTTACTTACGGCTCGGCCTTCTATCCCACTTGGGAGCCTAGCGCCTGGCGCGAAACTCCCTCCGGCGCCTGTGAATAGCGCCAAGAGTCACCAGGCGACAGTCAATCGCCTCCAGAATCACGATCCGTCGAGGATCAACCGATATATCGAAGCTATCGATGTCAGTGGTCAGACCAGTTGTGGCACGATTGTCTCTCGAGTTGCCAATCGCGCCGTGTTTTCTTTAAGGAAATAATGGAGAGGAACAGCGACGAGGAACGTTATGGATCGACGCCAGTGGGTAGTAGCTCGTGGATAGGTAGAAAATGGGCAGGGAAAAGAAATTTTGGCATTCGAATGGAAAAGGTAAATGTGTTTACGTGTGCGCACGACGCACATGTGCACGGCGAGAGTTACGGCTTGCGACTAAGTTGGCGTGGAGGCACGCGGCCGCTTTATGAGCGCGATTAAACGAGCGCGAAGAATACGGGAGTCGAGCCCCCGGAATCGCGAGCTCTGATTGGTCGACGAAGGGCCGCTGAACCTCTCCGTTGGTCCCTGGCCGATACACGCCCTCGGACAGACTCGACGACGCGCCATTCGGTGCCCGCGCGTCGCGGTGGAAGGACCCAACGTGACGCCACTCATATCTCACGCTGATTACGTGTTTTCGTATGCAGAAATAACACAGATATTCGAAGATTGGGACCATTAAAGGTGGAGTCCGGTTCAGAATGCTAGAAATGAAACACTTTTTCAGGAACTAAAAAAAGAACGTAACTTTGGTGGGTCTACAAAAGTGTCCATGTATAGTCGTTTGCTGGTCGGTTGGCGCGCGATCTAGATGGGTATATACTGTCGTTGGAAGGGATCTTGCGAGGTCGTAAAGTCGGTCGGACATCGATCTTTACAACTTAAGGAAGTATCCTGAATTAGGAGGTCTAAAAAAAGCGGTTCTTCGTGAATTTTTTTAGGATGGAAAAAAATAATTAATTCTATCGAACTTTTTATCCTATTTTCATACATGTTTGAGTAGTCTGTACAAATTTTTTCAACAAGAAATATTCAAATTGAGTCGACTGTGACGCACATTTGTAGGGCACCTCATAAATTAACTCAGAAAAACCCACAAAATTGATGAAATGTGAAATTACTGCAAGTTTGAAGAAAATCACTTTAACTTGTTAAAAATGTTGTTTAAAATCTTTATTGTATGAATTTTCTTAGTTCGCATAGAAGAAAAATGTATGAAAATGAAAATTTCTTTCGGTTCTTTTGTGTTAAACCAAAATTACGACTTGCATCTTTCCCGCCGGTAGGAGATTTTAATTGTGAGGTGGTCTACGAATGTGCGTCGCAGTCGACTTAATTTGAATATTTCTTGTTAACAAAATTTGTACAGACTACTCAAATATGTATGAAAATAGGATAAAAAGTACGATAGAATTAATAATTTGTTTTCCATCCTAAACAAATTTACGCAAAACCGTTTTTCTTTTAGACCTGCTAATTCAGGATATCCCTTTAATGGTGCGCAGGAGCCAGAGCCAAACTTCGTGTTAACTTCAGTGACAATTGCGGAAAAAGTAGGAAACTGCGGGACAAGGACAGAGAGGGTGATACAACAATTGCAGTAGAGACGAGGACAGGGCGATTAGGCTAGCATGATCTTTTGTCCAGAATATTGAAGCAAAGAAGCAATATTTTCTAATAATTCTGGTTTGAATATATTCGTTACACATTGCCGGATGCGACTCCAAGGCCTGATTTTGCAATTTCGGCGTTAAAACTTTATAAACAATAAAATGAAGATAGCAAACGTACTTTTGAACATTTTCCAAAGAAAGAAACGTGACAAACACATCGGTAAGCTTCAGATTTATTCGAAGCCTAGGATTTCGCTCATCTCTGCTTTCCAGGTATAAGTTTATATTGAAACAAATTATTTGATGTCATGAAAATATCCAATGAAAGAGTTTCCAAGTTTTATAAAGATACTTAAGAGCTAAAGGTCTCTAAAAGCTACAAGTTCTTAGATCTTTGATACATTATCGAAGATCCTTAATGCATTATTTTTTAAAAATTGCGAAGGTGGAGGACAATGAACAAGATGCAATGAAATGAAGTTCGACCAGCGAGGATTTGTTTTCACAGCTGCCGCTCTACACGGCGAGTCATTCGAGCCGAAGAAACACAAACAGTGGTAGAGACCTGATCGCGAATCCGAGCAATGGTATCGACAAGTGAGGCATTGCTATGCTAGGATTGTTGCGATTTTATAATCGAGTTGTATGGACACTCCTATTATTGTTTCAGTACGAGTAATTGGACCGTTATTCGCGCCTTGAATTAAAAAAGAACGTTTCTTGTGAAGTAACACCAGTAATGTTTCGTTAGATTAAAAATCAATCTTTAGCTATTACTTAGTCTTGTATGCAATGTGTGTAATAAAAACGCTCAACGCTAGACTCCATACTAGTTATACATGCACGAAATGGCAGAATTCTTTCTGTCCTTTCTTTTGAAGTAAAATAAATGATTGTGGAGAGCCAGTCGCGCGACACGTGTGTCTTGGTGTCTTCGAGTGACTTTGACTTTGATCGTCGGAGAGCTGTTCTCGTCGCGATTTTCGTCTAGGGAAAAAGTAGGGCGCGCGTCACGGTCCGATGGAGGTGTGGACACGAAAGCATACTCGCTTCAAGGTCTGCAGACTGCAGACAAAAATGCTCCACGTTGCTCGCTTGTGTCACTTTCGGTTTCCGATCGTTGCCATTATGGAACAAAAGGAATATAGGTGCTTGAGACTAAAGAGACAGTCTACAGAGGTTCAATTATTAAACTGGTGCGTTTCAGAACTTCGCATTGAAGGGAATGGACCACAACAGGTGGATAGGGATTTTTAATTTCCTCCCTTGATGATGAAATTCTCTACCTCTTCACGTAATTACTAATTATCTTTGGGAATCGTTCGTACGTGTATTCTCTTTTTTTCGCTTTGTATTACCTGTCCCATCCATAACAATAATGATTAAGGTAACCGCGAAAGCAACTTCGACGAAACAGCAACCAATCAACTAAAAGCGAAATATGGTTCCCGGAATCGTTTGCATTGGCCATTCGTTAAAAAGGTTTCTCTCGAGCACGGCTGGGGAGTCATAACTTTGCGATTGTTTTGTAATTACTTCTGCAATTGCACGCCGTAAACTACATTTTTTGAATTGTGAACATTCAGGGCCAATCGTGTCCGATTATTCATTGAACAAAAATGATAGATAATTAATTATCAATCATTAGACTGCTATCCTCGGACGAATGTCAACAACCGCGGTCTAGTAATTAATTATCCATTAATCCTCGTAATTGACTATATTTTATCCAACAGTGTCCAAGTCTTTCGCTCTTATCGCTTATCGCTTCTTTGACGCGAATTCGAAAACGTGACCGACGAGGACCTTGACAGGCGATGCACATTCCGCGAGCAACAAGTTGCATCCTCCTATCGGCACGTGACAACAGATAGAAATTCCATTTCGCATGTAAACGCACGAAAAAATGGCTCTATCAAAGTGTGGAATTAAACGTTTAATCGCACGCACTGCGCGTTCTATCAGAGAGAGTCTCTTCGTCACTGGCGATTAAGTGTTTCTGTGTGGTTCGTGACGGAGATGAGCATTTCTTAGATAAAAGTATTACTTAAACAACGAACCAGGTGAGAGATACCTACATCTTCGTTAAGAATTCGGATTTGCCACTCGTCATATTTATTCATAATTAGACTGTGAATTTTTACGTAAATTAATTTAACACGTTGACTCCCAGATAAATATTCTTGAAAATTTCTGCTACAATTAAATATTATTTAGAATATTGGAGACTACATAATCAAACGTTTATAGTGGTATTTATTTTTGTAACTTCATCAAAATTCATGAATTTCATTCAAATTCATTTCCTTTTATGCCTGACTTTTAAAATTAATTTTTTTACTTCTTCAGTGAAAAGCACTGTCACCCATACATGGGTGACGTGGCGATCAACGTGTTAATAAAATGATGGATCAATTTTTTAAATTTAAAGTACAGGTATAAATGATTGAATACAAGGGCGTAGAATTAATTTCTACGCCTCGTATATTATCGTTGAATTTTTATACAGTCTGTCTCACAAGAGCGTGTCGGATATTTTTTTTTGTAGATATTTATATATTTGTACAAAGTTTTATATGGATCCTACACCTAAAACACTGATACGCATTTACCTAGTAAGGTCTCCAGTATCCCCCATTAGCAATTATAGCTTGACACCGTCTCGGCATGCTCTCTACTAATTTGTCAAAAATTATCTAGCGTAGACTCACGAAAGTAGTGATTGCGATTGGAGCAGTACAGTGTAGAGTGATGAATCTTCATTTTAGGCTTGGTGTCCTATTAGACATGCTTGGTGTCCTATTAAACATGTTTGGTCTGTCCGTGAATAAAGAATAATACAAAGAAGTGTGAAATACCCCACAAAAGTGCATGTTTGGGGTTGCTATGTCGCAAGAGGTTTCGGGACTTTATGTATCTTCACTCACAATCTGAATGCGCAAACAATGCTGAAATTATATTGAAAGGAGCTTCTCACATCCATGAAATGTTGGTTCAATCAAACCAAAGACCAGTGGATATTGCAAGAAGACCAGTGGATATTACAAGAAGACCAGTGGATATTGCAAGAATACAACGACCCTAAACATCGAAGTCGCGTCTATAAAAGATGGAAAGAGGAAAACGTTATCATCGTACTATGGTGATAACGATGGTATAACGTATGGTTCATAATGAAGTACAAACTAAGAGGACGGTGTATCACCAAAATAAGAGCAATTGTACATCATATTCGAAAGATATGGAGATCGTTTCCAGCATCTTACCCCGAAAAATGAATAGAAAGCATGCCGAGACGGTGCCAAGCTATAATTGCTAATGGAGGAGATTGGATACCTTATAAAATTTTGTACAAATATATAAACATTCACAGAAATATAACCGACACGCTCTTATGAAACAGACTGTATACTCTTGTATTTGTGCACATTTTCATAGATTTCCTCCACCTTTTTTTTTTTATTGTAAATGCATAAATATTCACAATCTATTCGATGCAGTATTAATAGGAGAGGGTACGAGGAACCCGGATTTAAATTTCTACCCAGTGGAACGTTCCAAGTTGAGAAGTAAACAACGATCAAGGAAGAGGTTGAGAGACGACGAAGACGCGCCCGGATGAGATTCGTGCGGGGGAGGGCGCTGGAATTAAAATCGTAAACGTCAGAAACTATTCAGCATACGGTCTCTGAATACCCGCGATCCCTCTGCACCGACCTATTTCCAACTAAAAATAGCCAATAGAATGATTGTGGCCGAAGCAACTCGTCCATTCGACCACGGAGCGTGGCGATTAAACGCGAAAATCACCTTGCGCCCAATTGCCGGCCTCCTCCGGTCTTCCTTTCAATTCCCTCGCCTTTCTTTATCCCGCTACGCGCTCGCCTTCCGTTTCGAAAGCACCGACCGTTTTGATACTCGCGATACAGCAGAACTCCAGCTACACGATCGTTACATTTCTATCGATCAGGATTTCGTATCGCGTAAATTAATGACTAATACCCATTCCTATCTTCGTCACTTATCGGGCGCGTTCTTTGCAGTCCACGACAGTTCGAGGTGGAAGGCCGCGATAACAAGGCGCGATAATGGTTCTCATAATTGGCGAACGCGAAAATAGTCGAAGAGCGAATTATTTCGCCAGTCGCTTAATGAGCAGCTATTAGATAATTTCGGAACGCGCGTTTTATACGAACGACGGCGACCCAGCTGCGCACCTGCGGCAAGTGCATGGGAAACCGACGGAAGACAATCGAAAAAGACGCGGGAGGGTAAACAGTAAGTAACTCGTTCCTTATTCAACCGACCAGAACCGCAGTCGTTTGTTTTCTCGCATCTCGAGTAAAACCGGGAAACGAGCTGTCAGTGGCTCGTCTGAGTAAAACAAACAGCGAATTGCAATTGACGGACAGTGACAAGTCGGTAACTGGCTTTTCGAGAATTGGCGTGCGCAACAAATCAAGTCGAGTCGACGAGGAAGAAACAGGTAGCTATATCGACGCGATTACGCAATTCCGTCTCAGGGTACTCGTTGAGCGCATCTCGCCGATACTCAGATATCGAGGATTCGGTTCGATAATTCTACTACAATTCTTTTTTTTTTTTCCACGCGAGGAACCACCTCTTACCTAACAGACAGCATCGATGAAAACAGGATTCGTCTCGGTCCCGCGCCTATGTCACCTGTAATCACCTAGAACCATCTACGATCGTAACTTAAGAAAATAAAAAAAAAAAAAAGCAACGAGTAGGTTAAGATACATACAGTATTACAGAAGTACAATTAGAATAAAAACAGAAACCAATATGAAGACTGAGGATTGTTAGGTTGTAAGGAAAAAATATATATCTTCTAAAAAGATTCTATTTTCTTTTGTCTGTTATACAATAAAATATATATATATATAAAATAGACGAGTTACTATTCCTATATAAAGTTTATTAACATACTAGAATAAAGAGTATGACAACCTCGACTTACAAATTAAAGAGTTTATTGTTATGCCTTTCTTTATTGCGATTAGTTATAAGAAGGATAGCCAGTAAGAATAGAGACTAAGAAGCATTAATGTAAAACGTTTAGAAGAGGAAATATAAAAAGAGAGCAGCACATAGGAGTGCAAAGTACTACTCCGAATGTACGCACTTTAATTTAATAAACAAGCAAAGAAACAAGTCAGTGCTGCCATCTCCCAACACAAAAAGATACAAAGACGTCGGTAACTCAGAATGCGACTTGCTAGATAAGGAAGGCCACTGTTCGGACGATCGTCGATAATGTAAACATCCTGTGTCGATGTAAAAAATCATAATGTTCGCATTAATTGATTCAAACCAATTGATTTTTAAACTACCTCGACTTCGAAGTTGCACATTCCGATTCAACGACCGAATACGAACACAAACAGGCCCCGAACTGTCTCTCGATGACTCTTCAGTCCTCAATTGGACCAAGGGACGCATCATTGCGTGCATCCGGACACGTATACCGAAATCTTTTTCCAGGTTGCGCGATACGAGCTGAACTCAGGATTAAAAGGAAACGCTACGTCAAAACCAATGTGATGCACGTGACGCAACAACTTTCATCACATGCCCATGAACGATTCGTCGAAAAGTTGTGGCGACGTGAGACTCTGCTATCGACACATGTAAATTCCAATCGATCATTCTATGTGTTTTATTCAACACCCCAGCCGAAGATCGATTAATTCTATTCAACGGCGATTTATGCGTTTCGTCGATAAAAATTAAACTAGGGTGAAAATGTCGATCGAGTACGTATTAATTAATATATCAATTTTTACAACCGTTAACGCTCCTTCGAAGTCGAAAAAGATTATCCACAAATGTTTTTCATTGTTTTCTAATCACCAGTAAGTATCCCTGTATCTCTTTGTCCTCAAAAGTGTATCAACCGAGTGTATCAATTCGAAGTCGTTGGTTCAAGGAGTTTGGACGCTTCTGCGACTTTCATTGTATCAAATTTGTTGGCGGCGAGACGCGTATCGAAATTTCCTCCGGGTTCGAGAATATCGAAGGTGATGGTGATACGCAGAATCACGAGACCGGCACGAGAGGTCGATGGTGGAAAATTTTTCGCGCAAATTGCGACTTGTTCAACGATAAACTTTAATCGCGATGACTCCGATATGTCCGGGGGCCGATTCGCCAGGAAAGAAACAAAATCGTCCAGCGCAATTGTGCAAGCCCAATTACTTAATTGTACGCGCTGACGTCGCGCGAGCGGCTCGGCCAATCAGAAGCTGCATAGCGAACGAACCCCTCGCGAAAATCGACGGAATGCGTATCGCCGCGATCCTCTTTAACGACGTTATCCGCGATTTCAATCATGCCGTTGCATGGAGGCCTGATGACGTTTCACTTTGCGCAATCGAGACACGTGTCGACGTCAGAAGCCTGAATAATGCTTAATTAAAAAGTTTTTTTTTTTTTTTAAATTGTACGAGTATATTCATACTTCGTTTCCATATTATTTCAGGCGATACTGTATAATTTAACTAGTTTTTAGTACGTCGAAAGTCACACTAGCGACGAAGTAATGAAAAGAGGGATCGATGTCAATTTATGCAGAAGCTGCATGTATTTAAATCACTCGTGATTACGTGTAGCAAACAATGAACGTTGCATCATACGCGCGATTGTGATTTTATAACATAATAGCTTCTTCCTATCAATTGTAAACGACGTCATCATTTTGTCACATTTTATGAAAAGGTTATAAATTGTTAATTTCTACTTATCTTAAATGTTCGCAACCTTCGTTATGCTTATTCGTAGACTTCAGTGGAATAATTTCATTGGAAAAAATCTAAGCTAACTTCATTTATCAGTTATTTATTTTATCTATCGACATAAATTTTCTACTCAAGATAAAATAATTTCTTATTATTCGATATAGTACGTGTGTACAGGCTTGTGGAATTATCCTGTATCAATGTACAGTGGTGCGAGTAATTCTAGGTTCAAATTAAAAATATTAAGCATTTACCGTTGAACCTAGAATTATTCGTACCCATTGGGTTTCCATCTCAATTTAATATTTCAGTTCGTAGACCTTCGCAACCTTAGAGTGAACGAAATGTCCTGATGATTTCTGAGAATTATTGCTTGTCCGCGCCAAGAAAAACAATTTTATTAAAGAAGACAACGTTACATTCAAACGACGATTGAAAGACGCATTGAAATCTAGGCCAACGACGGGACAAAATAAAGTCGGCGCTGCCAAGATTTACGCGAATATCTCAAATGCTGGCGGTCGAGGTTCCCACCTTCGTGACGTTTCACACGCGCCAACGATTCGTCACCTGTTGGTACACGAACCTCAGCATCCCCGCCATTTTGGTCGTACCATCGCAATTAAAACCGAACAATTTACGAGCATTCGGTCGATTTTTCATCATCTCGATCCCCTCGATTTTATACGATTCTGTTTAGAAATTCCAAATGGCCGCAAGGCCTGCGCGTTGCTCAAGATGAATCGAACAGATTTCTTCGCGGTTCGATTTTCGAGTAATCTGAGATACCTGTATTACTTGAGTCTGATCTATTTATAAATTTTCTTAATCCAATTATTATCGAGGTTTGATAGCTCGATTAGCGAGTCGGACATGTTTGTTGTTGATAGGGGCAATAAACAAGAAAAATTAGACAAGTATGAATTATTAATCGACGATTATACGGTTAAAATAATAGTATTTTGATATATCAAACATATCCTAATAATCGTTTACAAAATAATTAAAAATTCATACTCAACGAAGAAATTTTTCCATTAATTGCTCTTATCGTCGAAGAAATATTTCCACTCACTTATCAATCTTTTTTATTACATTAATTATCTCATTTTTTGTCATCTCTAGCATTTCTGTGTCAATCTAGGTTAGATTATTAATGGTAGCTCGATTCCACCATTCACATCGACCTGTGTATGCCTTTTCCTCTCGTATGGTGTCACAAATTATTATCATCTATCCTTTAAACGCGCCATCGTAAAAAGACCAGTGAACCCATGATGACGAATCGCAATGCTCTGTGTCGATCCAAGTCTAATTTCAGCGACGAGCACTTGCCACCTGCCTGACTGCATCTCGGCGTTCCGTCTCTTGTGTGATTTATCGAGGCGTTATAATTGCTTTTCTATACGTGTACGCATTTGAGAAAGACGATCTTATAAATTTTCAGTCAACACGTGATTGTAATTTATAGGTACAACGAATGAACTTATAAATGTAACAAAATTACACAGGTTACGCTGTACACATATCTATTGGGCTGTCTGGAAAGTCCATGCCGATTTTTAGTAGGTGGTACAGGTCTGAATATATCGGAATGGCTGAAAACAAATAACATGTGTACATTCCTTAAGAGATGGAAAGGTTGTGGAACAAAATGGTACATATATAATTCAATAAATATACATGAAAATTCAAATATGCCTTTGAATTCTTCTTAAAAATAGGCACGAACTTTCCGGACAACCCAATGTATTCACAGATATATTAGGTGTACTGGAAAGTAACGTCGTTTGTGCAATTTTAAATAAACTCGTTTATCACTCATGAGTTCACTGATTTTTATCGACATGGCGTTGAAAATTGGCACACTAAATGGCAAAAGACTGTTGATAACGAAGTCGATTACATGATTGATTAAAAATAGAAATTTATTAAAAATTTATTTGAATTTAATGTAAAAGAAACGACATTACTTTCCAGTCTACCTAATATATATGCACAATTCAACTTGTACAATTTTGTTATATTTACAAATTTAGTTTTTACAATTATAAATTACAAGCATGCATTATTCATATATGTGCATATACATACGCACGCATAAATATTAATAAAACAAACGTACACGTACAAAGATCTATTTCTCTATTTCTCAGCAAAGTCATTTACAAGAGAAAAATAGATCCGTACAATACACATTATTTCGGATGATGTACCCAAAAACTTTTTGCGAGCCGAGGCTAATGAGAACTGCAAACGTCATACGCAGACACACGGTCTCGTCGTTCGTGACAGTACAAAGTCTCGAAACGCAGAGCGCAACGCGTCTAATTGCGTCACGAAAGCTAAAATAACTGGTGCGTTGCTAGACGATCGAAGTTTCGACACGCGGCAAATAATGTCCGCAGTCGAAACACGTGAGAAAGGGTAAAAGTGATAATTACACGATGCGTGACCTTTTGAACTTGCGCGCCATGTCGATGGTTGAACATCGAAAGCCACGAGAACGATACCGATTCGTTCGACGGAACCGTTCTTGGCGAATATCGTGCATTGCACACGTACAGATATTATTTGCAATTAAAATCGAATGTAGATAAACACACCTAGGTAAATATAGAGGTCAGCGCTTGAAATGTCTATGCGGAGTCTAATCAGTCGTATATCAGAGGTTGCAGCTAAAAAATCTCTTTAATTGCAGCAGCGTAGGGTAACATTTACAGAGAGTTGGCATTTTTATTTTCTCATAACCCCATCTATGATATCTCTATATGTATTAGGTTGTCCCAAAAGTTTCTTTCGCTTTATTAATAAGTAATACATGCACAATATTTTATGTTTTATGTTACATTACTAAATTGTGCACGATTCATTTTGCTCCATTACTGTTACAACACGAATATCTATGAAATTAGATTGTCTATGTATATAAACACGACCATAGAAAATAATTGAGCGCAACTCGCGAAAGAAACTTTCGGGACAACCTAATACTTTATGCTTGCACATCCAGAATTAAATAAACGCGAACGGAATAGAATGTTTACCGACGACGATAATATCGACTCAATTACGCAACAAACGTGACTCCGTGACTAATATCAACCGAACTTAACCTAATAACCTAGACAATGGTAACGTTCGAAGTTCGGCACTTATCGCCAATTATAGAGTCTAACCTTATTCAAGTGCACGGATCGATAAGAAGATCGTAGTCGGAGATCGGCAGTAATTTATTCGAATGACACACGGATACAAACTCGACGTAGAGATTTATTCGCGACGCTTTTTTTTTTTTTTTTCGTATAAAGTGTTAGCCAGATAAGCGTTTACTGCTTCAGCATGAAAGATAATACGATTATGTAATTCGGATTCGTAATTCTTATTGAACGAATAATGCATCGAAGTTATGAGAATCACTGTTCGTGGGATGTAAATTCAAATTGGAAACGTTTAATTATATTTAAATACGCAAATGTAAGTCGAGATAACGAGGCCAAAAGGGAGAAAATAATTTTTGAATGAACTGTATAATAGAAAAATGAAGAATGACACATGAAAAGTCGTTTAGTATCTTTTAATGGCCATTCAATGTTTTTCTTATTTCGACAGGAGTTTTGTTTATTTTTGATATCGTGACCTAAACTTGAATGAGAATGAGTACGAATGAGAACCGCTAACGATCGAGCCCCTTGGTCGACGACCGGTCGAACCAATCGCGAGTCCGCTGAGAACCGACGCCTACAAATTGCACCAATCAGAGCCACGGTTCTGCGAAGGCGCGTTCTACGTATCTGCTTTCTCTGAAGGACCAGCGCCTTTGATGACGTTTCATACGACCATGCAATCGTGCCAGGTAGCACGAATTTTATTATGAACCGTTCGTACACTGGTCACAATAAAATACATATTTGAGTTCGTTTGCGAGTTGAATGGAATACAGTATACAGGGTGTCACAAAAATGTTGTAACACCTTGAAAGAGGTGGTTCGGGAGGTGATTTGAAACAACTTTTTCCTTAGCGAAAATGTTGTCCGAGGCTTCGTTAAGGAGATATTAACGGAAAACACTGACCAATCAGAGCGCGCGTATACCGTTGGAGCGGCCGTGGTAGCGAAAGCTACGCGTTAGACGGCTGCGGCAATGTCTTTCGATTAGAGATCACGGTTTTGAACGGGTATTAAAATACACGGGTATATGGAACACGTGTACCGTGCATTAAGGGATTAAGAACACGGGTATTTTTAATACACGGGTACTCGAGTGTCGAAATACACGGATATCCAGGTACGTACACGTGCATCGAAATACACGAGTACGCATACATCGAATGATCTATTATTACCCGTGACTTGAATATTTATTTTAACTAGTAAATAAAGTTTTACAAATTACACTAAAAAATTTATTCTTTTATACTTATTCTTCTTATGTTTATATTTTTTTATTTATTTATTTTACTGCATATCAATTTTTTTCAAAATTAATAAGGATCATTATTTTAGAATAATATAGCAGTTTTACATAAAAGTTTGTATATAAAAATAATTGGATATCGTGCCCGTATAATACGATGTATGCGTGCCCGTGTCTTTCGATGGACGTATACGTACCTGGATATCCGCGCATTTCGATACCCAGGTATTCATGTATTAAGAATACACGGATTAAAACACGGATCCATTAATTACCCGTGTACCCGGGTATCTCGATACACGTGAAGTAGGGATCTCTACTTTCGATACACGTCGAGTAACTTGTTCCCGTACGAGCGCGGTCGCCTAGCGCATAGCCTTCGCTACCACAGCCGCTCCAACGGTATACGCGCGCCCTGATTGGTCGACGTTTTCCGTTAATATCTCCTCAACGAAGCCTCGAACAACATTTTTGCTAAAGAAAAAATTGTTTCAAATCACCTCCCGAACCACCCCTTTCAAGGTGTTACAACATTTTTGGAAACTCTGTGTATTTTGCAATCACCACAAGCATTACGTGGAATTATCCTGTATCAATGTACAGTGGTGCGAGTAATTCTAGGTTCAAATTTTAAATATTAAGCATTTACCTTTGAACCTTTGAATTATTCATACTCACTGGGTTTCCATCCCAATTACTGCATCTCATTTTGTTCAGAGAACATTTCTTAACTGTTTCGTTCGAGCCATTTGCAAAATTATAACGTATAATAGCTATTCTTTTAAACGAAAATTTTTAGGTGTCCCGATGATTTATTTTTATCTACTTAAACGCGTTATATCCCAATTATTTACGGTAAAATGCTTAAAACGAAAACCAGCATTGTCTGGATTAATGGGATATCGTTATTTAATGATTCAATGGGGAAGCCAGGAATGTTTGTTGAAGAACACGTTTTACAACGGCTAAACAAATCTAATAATATCATTTGGTCGACCCTCTAACTCATTTTAAAATCATTTCTGGCAACTTCTCAATTGTGACATTGCCATACTAAATGTACCCAACGTTACTTAAGACTACGCGAAATCTCATTCAAGTCAATATATGTTCCGTTCGTGGATTGATACCAGATTGGACAATTTAATAGTAAAAAAAAAAAAAATAATCTCAGCGATAAACATTAGTAATACGTCTGTACTGGACGCAAACCCGCATCAATCACAATACATAATACACCGCAGTATGAAACACTCCATGAAAATAATAATACCTCTCTTTAGTATATAGATATGCGTCAGTCATATATGAAAATACAATTGACGAAGAAAATAAATAAAATGCTAAAGAGAAAAAGTGACGACAACTGTTATCTGTAGACTAAAGGTCGAGTTTCAGTAATACGTTGTTATTAAATCTAACCCTGAAAATAGTTTTTCTGAAATATTCCATTCACAGAGACTGAATATAAAACTGAGACCTTTTACGGTGAAAAAATTATAAGTCTCAGTTAATTAAAACCACGATGCCAAACGATAGTTAGTTTTTACAAGTAAATCGAGGCAGGAATGTACAAAGAAATGTTTTTACAGTCCCTCGTCGTTAATGAGCAAACACTAGATACGACGTAAAATAAAAAAAAGTAAATAAAAACAAAAAAATAAAAAAAAAATGTATCTTTTTAGTGATTCATCCAACAGCAACGCAGCCACGTGCGAAACGATCAAACTCCACCGTTCAACGTCGAGCATTGATCGATGATACCTTATACTTTTGTTTAACACGTTGACCGCCAAACGAGAATTCTTAAAAATTTCTGCTAACATTAAATATTATTTAGACTACCGGAGTCTATGTAATCAAACATTTATTCTGGTATTTAGTTTTGTAACTACATAAAAATTCATGAATTTCATTTAAATTCATCTCCTGTGATGTCAACTTTCCAGAATTAATCTTTTTAGTTCTTGAGTGAAACCCACACATGGATGACATGGAAATCTACGTGTTAAATCAACAAGGAACATTACGTAAGTATGTTTAAAATAAATAAAATAGTATTGCTATGGTGCATCGTCGAGGAGGCGCGAGTTTGCGCGCGGCGGATAGTCGAAACACGTGTCCGCGTGTGGATCGTCGCGAACTTTCGGAAATATAAAGGTCACACGAACATTTTTTTCCTACGCACGTGTAAAAAAGAAAAGCCACCGTACCTTCGCCTAGTCCGTCGTCGATGAACCAGATGGAAGAGAGAGAAGGAATCGGTACACACTAAAGTCACTCGCACCCCCGTTACGGCACTGCTGATAAGAAGCTAATTCGATGACACCAGTCGTCTACGGGACGACTCCGCGCGCAAAATATCAATCGACCGAACAGCGTGTACTATTTAAACGTGTGTGTTTAACAATGACGAAACGAGTCGTCTTGTTGCAGAGAAACGAAAACGTGATCACGGTACTGCGTTGCGTATGTGACTGACCGAGAGTATCCGAGAGAACCTCCGCGGTTGAGAGAGGACACTCTCACTCCTTCTTTCTCCCCTCTCCACGCACTTGCCAAATCTCTCACTCTACCTGCGCGTTCTCTGTTCCTTCGATAGAGATACAGTGAGTGTAAAAAGTACTCGTACGGACAAGCATAGAGTGAAACTAGATACGTTTATTTTTAAATTTCCATGGATTGAATTCATTTCTTTGGATAAATTAGTTATTTCTTCGGCGGTAAAGGCAGAGTATTCTTTGTTAGGCGACGTTTCAAGGTTGGTCTGTACGTTTCGAATATTCAAGTGCTCCGATAAGCAACAATTTTTTTCCAGGGTCACACTTTACGAGCTTTCAAGGTTATCGGTATTTTTTTTTTTTTTAATGACACGATATACTTTCATTACCGCAATAACGTGACACGTTAAAAAGACGAATTCAACCGTGTTCAAATACTTTCTATG